TAGCCTCCGACCTTTACCGGAGGAGCACGCTTTATGATACAGAATTATCAAGACGCCATGGCCATTTGCAGGTGGGCAGGTTATCCTGATTTATTCATAACGTTCACGTGCAATCCAAGATGGCCAGAAATCGATCATTTCTTGCATCCGAGGAATTTGAAAGCAGAAGATCGTCCAGATATAGTGAGTCGTGTTTTCAAGATCAAGCTCGACGGTTTGATTAGAGATCTACGGAAGAATAGAGCTTTTGGAAATGTCAGGGGAGGTAATGTCACCTCTTCAATCCTTTTTAGATTAACCTCCTGTCGATGTTATTTAACATTATTTGTTTATTTTACAGTGGTCTACACAATTGAATTTCAGAAACGTGGTTTGCCACATGCCCATATATTGCTTTGGTTAGCAACAAATGATAAATTGCCCTCGCCGGTTGACATAGATAGGGTAATATCTGCAGAAATTCCTGATATAAACGCTGACCCACTGTACTATGCTGCTGTGAAGAACTTTATGATGCATGGCCCTTGCGGTAATGTTGCAAAATCTGCGCCTTGCATGGTTGACGGTAAATGTACCAAACATTTTCCTAAAAAATGGTGTGAGGAGACGACAGTGGACGCCGACGGTTACCCAATCTATAGGAGGAAATGTGATGACCGCAGAATAATCAAAAATAAGGTTGATTTGGATAATAGATTTGTTGTTCCACACAGCCGTTATTTATTGATGAAATATGGAGCCCATATGAATGTGGAGTGGTGTAATCAGTCAAGGTCAATCAAATATTTGTTTAAATACATAAACAAAGGTCGTGACCGGGTCACAGCAGGGTTTTACCAAACAACTGATGCTGAGGCAGGACAAAAGCCAGTTGATGAGATACAAATGTACTATGACTGCAGATACATCTCCTCTTGCGAGGCTGCTTGGCGCATATTTGGTTTTGAAATTCAATATAAAACCCCGCATGTTGAACGTCTGAGCTTCCATTTACCAGGAGAGCAGAGTGTTGTTTTTCGCGACGATGAGCCTCTCGATTCAGTGGTTCGAGCATGTTCTGTTAAGGAGAGTATGTTCACAGCGTGGATGGAGGCTAATAAGAAGTACCCGGAAGCAAGACTTTTGACATATGCAGAGTTTCCACAGAAGTTTGTTTGGAAACAAAAGACAAGAGAATGGTCTCCCAGAAAACAAAACTTTGCTATTGGTAGAGTTTATCATGTCCATCCCGGCAGTGGTGAATCTTATTACCTCCGATGTCTTTTAAATCATGTTCGTGGTGCAACAAGCCATCAGGACTTGAGAACATTGAATGGTGTCATTTATGATTCTTTTCGTGATGCATGTTATGCGTTGGGCTTACTCGACGATGATAAAGAATTCATTGATGCTTTCACAGAGGCAAGCCATTTCTCATCTGCCTTTTGTTTGAGAATTTTATTTGTGATATTATTGTGGACAGAGTCAATGGCAAGACCTGAGTATGTTTGGGAAAAATGTTGGTCCTTCATGGCTGATGACATCCAATACATGCGGAGGAGAATATTACAACATCCAGGTTATGTTTGTCAAACATACTAATGAATCTTAGATATTTATTTTTCCATCCATACTTTCCATTTTCCTCACACTAACTATTTATCATATTCCAGATCTTATTCTTTCTGATGACCAGTTAGTGAGGTTTGCTCTGGAAGAAATTGAGAGGTTATTACAAACCCGTGGGAAAAGTTTGCGCGATTACCCCCCCATGCCTACAGTAGTTCTCGATTCACTATTATCTTCTAATGACAGACTTATATTTGAAGAATTGCGTTATGATCAAAGCGCAATGATAGCGGAACATTCTACGTTGTTCAATTCTCTTACGGATGAGCAACTGCAAGTGTATGATACAATAATGCGGTCTGTTGATGAAGAGGTTGGTGGTATATATTTTGTTTATGGCTACGGAGGTTCAGGAAAGACGTTTGTGTGGAAGACCCTTTCTGCAGCCATTAGGTCTAGAGGTGAGGTTGTCCTTAATGTTGCATCGAGTGGTATTGCATCTCTTCTGTTGCCGGGAGGACGCACCGCTCACTCTAGATTTGCAATACCGATAAGTCTTAACGAAGACTCGACGTGTCATATTAAACAGGGAAGCCCGCTTGCCAAGCTAATTGTACGGTGCAAGTTGATTATATGGGACGAAGCTCCAATGTTACATAGATTTTGTTTTGAGGCATTGGATCGGAGCATGAGGGACATTATGCGGTTTCACAAACCGAATTGCGGTACTCTTCCATATGGTGGAAAAACAATGGTATTCGGGGGTGATTTTCGGCAAGTGTTGCCGGTTATACCGCGTGGGAGTAGGCAGGATGTCGTGAATGCAACCATTAATTCATCATATCTTTGGTCAGAATGTACTGTCCTCCGACTCACAAAAAACATGCGTTTGCAAAACTTGACAAATCCTTCGGATTCTTACGATTTGAAGCTGTTTTCGGATTGGATTGCTAGCGTTGGTGATGGTGTTGCTGGTGACTTGAATGATGGCCATGTGCTGATTCCTATTCCTGACGATCTATTGATACAAACAGATGGAGATCCTATAGCTGCGATCGTAGAAAGCATCTTTCCAGAATATGTGAGATCTGCAGCAGATGTTAGTTGTTTGCGTGATCGTGCAATTTTGGCACCCACCCTGGCTGTTGTCGAAGCTGTTAATGAATATATGATGGCGCTTAATGTTGGCGAAGTTTCAAGGACATATCTTAGTTCTGACACTGTTTCTAAGTTGGACTCCACAACAGATCTTATGGCAGAACTGCACACTCCTGAGTTCTTAAATAGTATAAAATTGTCTGGTGTGCCCAATCATGAGTTGACGTTAAAGGTTGGGACCCCGGTCATGCTGTTGAGAAATATAGATCATTCTATGGGGTTGTGTAATGGTACACGTCTTATTCTAACGAGACTTGCTGATCATGTTTTGGAGGGGAAGATTTTGACTGGTGTGAGTGCCGGACAGAAAGTCCTGATTCCAAGATTGTCCTTGACGCCATCGGATACTTCCTTACCTTTCAAATTTCAGCGGCGACAGTACCCTGTAATGACGTCATACGCGATGACGATAAATAAAAGTCAAGGTCAATCTTTGTCCCGTGTTGGGCTGTTATTGCAAAAACCCGTATTTACTCACGGACAGTTGTATGTTGCAATTTCTAGGGTGACCAACCGATGTGGTTTGAAAATTTTAATTGTTGGTGATGATGGACGGACCACTAACAAAACTCAGAATGTGGTATTCAAAGAAGTTTTCAACAACGTTTAGGGTTGATTGAAATGGATATTTATAGTCTCACTGTTTCGGAATATATCTATGTGTTGTTTTTTCTTTACTTTCCCGTGATGTTTTGTATTCTCAGTTCACCATAATATTAAATATGTGTTTTGTCAATTGCGTTTTTGGTATCTTTATTGCGTGACATTGTTTAGTGTCGTCAATAATTATAGTGGTGGACCGTATTAACTACAATACATTAAAAAAAAATCTCATGCCGTGCATCGCACGGGTGAGATTACTAGTTTAAATTATAAATGAGCACACATTAGCATCTAATCAAGTACATTCACCCCAATGTCTATTTGCACACCTCATTTCAATAAAAAGAGCCTCTATACATGAATTAATAAGACATACTTCAAGTTAAATAAAAAAGAGAGTCCACATGTTCCTAGAATTATATTTAAAGAAAAAAACACTTGGCTATAAAACACCATTTTAAATAATCCAAAACTTTTAAATTATAAATGAGCACACATTAGCATCTAATCAAGTACATTAACACTTCACCTCCTAATCAATTATAATATTAAGGTGGCAAAACAATCTCCATAATAGTAAATATCAGAACATGAGAAATATTTTTGGATTATAGTGATGTGAGCATATCAATAATTTTTAGTGACCTCAAATGCACTAAAAAAAGGTATTATGTTCTATATTTTTCTAAGAAACAATGTCACTCATTGATGTTAATAATAAAATTTGTTACCAGGCATCAAATAAAGTCTCATTAAAAAGAAAGTTGGAGATCGTAATAGAATACCCGGCGGTGCCGGTATATTTAGGCAAATACCAAGAATAACAGATGTATGTAAATTTACAGAAAGGCCCTTTGTGGTAGGTGGGGTACTTTATACACTTAATTAGTATATAGAAACGATAGCATAACATCAAATTCTGAAATAAAGTTTATCTATATTCTGATTTTAATGTAATTAATCTAGACAGAAGTTCGAGGTAAAAGACTAAAAAAATGCTTTTCTTCAAAGTCTCTCGCATGTCATGTATCCCAAATATGTACACACATGTAGACAGAGTCACAGACATATATATTACCAACCAACAAATAGTATTAATCAAAATATTTGGATAATTATTAAAATTTATATCAAATATTAAAGCAATCAAAGTGGAACGTGAATCAACATGTCAATAATATTGAACTCAAATCTATTAAACAAATAGCCATACATATCAACAAAATCTCATCGTAATTCTGGAAAGACTGAAAGAGTGGGCACAATCTAAGGGGGTGTTCATATAGAATGTTAGGTTTGTATAATTTCAGTGGTTTCTAGACTTTCTACTTCTACTATTTCATCATCATTTCAGGAGATCTTTTGGCTCACAATTTTGACCAAAAAAGTTAAAAATAGGTTGTCCTAAATAGGAGTAAACTTTTCCCTGATTAGGATTACTACTCGGTAGGTTTTTTCACTAAATCGGAATACATAACGGAATGTCTATATGATGTCAATATGTTGATATGTTTTGAGTACGAAAGAACCGCTGTAAAACACCTAAGTTTTACTTCATTTATTACGTCTCCCTAAAACACCTAAGATATATATCTATCAACAGAAATCCTAAAATGCTAAAACTCCAAGATTCCCAAAAAGGCGTGGATTTTGGGATTTCAGACTGTTAGGAATTACTTAGTGACTAGTGTGTTAAATTATTATAATCATCTTTGTATCTGTGTAGAAAATAGCACTTGTAATTACAAAAGGGCCAGTTTGTATTATGGCCCATTTATATATTACGCCTACAGTAACGCGCTTAACCTTCAGATATAAGATGTCTGTAGGGCTAAGTGTATCGATAACTTTTGATTATCATATACGGGCGCTAATATTACAGAGAGAGAAAGCCGCCACACCGAGAGATACTGAATACCCTGCTCTCGATTCTATAAACATCATTCTCAGTATTGAATATACATTCAGTGTGTTCTCCATTCTCTGTTTTATCATTATTCCCCTTGTTTGGCCTTGAATGGGTCATAAGTGGTCAGCATGTTTACCTTCTTCACTTTAGCTCCTACTTCTGTCCCTTGCATCATCTTGTACATCTCATCCCACATCTCCTTTGCAGTTGACATGCTAATAATCTGCATGTAGATTTCGTTCGGGATGGCTTGCAACAGATAAGCCTTGGCCGTTAGATCAGCTCTAGCTCCGAGTCTCTCTTGTTCAGTATATTCAGAAGGTATCTTCAGCTCTTGTGAAGCAGGGATGTTTTCAGGAGAATCGGGGATGGTTTTCCAGAATCTTGCAGGTCCACCAGTGATTGAGGACAGCATTTTGATGCCCTCATCTTTACTCTCTAGGAAATTTATGAACCGCTTCCTCCATACAGTGTATTCACCTCTGCGTAGGATTGGTGGCCTGAAATCGGCTCCCATAGAATAAGCGTCCATGTTTGATTGTTGAATGTCGATCATTGAAGTGTTGTGTTGATTGACTAAGTTACGCAGAAGTGGCTTGGTCAGCGTGATTACCTCCTTCTCTTTAGCTATTTCTTCCCTCCCGTGCATCATCTTGTACATCTCACCCCACATCTCCTTTGCAGTTGACATGCTGTCAATTAGCATGTAAATGCCGTTCGGATGGCTTGCAGCAGATAAGACTTGGCATTTACATAAGCTCTAGCTCTGAGTCTCTCTTGTTCAGTATATTCAGAAGGTATCTTCAGCACCTGTGAAGTAGGAGGGTTGTTTTCAGGAGCCCCGCGGATGGTTTTCCAGAATCTTGCAGGTCCATCAGTGATTGAGGACAACATTGTGATGCCTTGATCTTTACTCTCTAGGAAACTTATGAACCGGTTCCTCCATACAGTGTATTCACCTCTCCGTAGGATTGGAGGATTGAAATCATCTCCCATAGAATAAGTGTCCATGGTTGATTGTTGAATGTCGATCGTTGAAGTGTTGTGTTGAAGTATGATACGATCGTTGAAGTGTTGTGTTGAATGACTAAGTTATGCAGAAGTGACTTGGGCCATAAAGTTGTGAAGGACTGAAAATGTGGATAATGATCCAAAAACCTGAAGAAAGGAAACAGAGAGGAAAGCTTTCAAAACAGAACAAGAAAAATTGCTTAATGAGATTTCTTCTCTCAAAATCGCCCCTCATTCAAGCACAGTTTCAACCACCGAAACCACTGTTCCTGTTCCAAATAACATTTCCCCAAAAACTCCCTTAAAACAGGTTTCTCAAGCAAAGTGTAAGTGCTCATTCTCGTTTTCAAATGTGCCAAATGTGCCCACACAAAAATCTTTAACTAAATGGCAGGAGAAGAGGATGGCCTGGATCCCAAAACGTGAGAAAAAAGAAGCAGCAAGACTTAAGCATTTTCCCAAGAGGGCGAAGCAACACGCTTTTGTTTCAAAGTATTTATGGTCTAAATATGATACAATGCCCCTAGAACTTTAGACTCATAAAACTAAGCTTCTCAAACTAGAACCAGTACTAGCTATTATACAGTTCTTAATTGATTGGACAATTTGAGACATGCTATCATTTCCAGGGAAGTTGAACAGCATTTACTGCCCAATTCAGAGGAAAACATAGAAGTGCTACTCAAAACAAAAGATTCATATAGAACGTTAGGTTTGTATAATTTTATTGATTTCTACTATTTCAACATTTCGAGAAATCCTTTGGCTCACAATATTGAGCAAAAAAGTTAAAAATCAAGATGTCCTACACAGGAGTAAAATTTTCCCTAAATAGGATTACTACTCCGTATGTTTTTTCACTAAATCGGAATGCATAACAGAATGTCTGTATGATGACAATGTTGATATGTTTTCAGGACGAAAGAACCCTTTGTAAAACTCATATGCTTTACTTCATATATGAAGTCTATCTAGAAATTTGATGCATATATATCTATCAACAGAAATCCAAAAATTATGAAACCCCAAGAAGGCGTGGATTTTGGGATTTCAAGCTCCTAATCTGTGGCACCAATCCAAACCCTATTATCAGGGGTAAGACTCACTTCTAGAATTGGAAACTTTCTACTTCACTGCAAAATCTGAAAAAATATATACACGATCCTACAAGAGACCGACGGAAAAAAGGAATTACATTGATATACTCGAAGCAGGTAAATGGTTATTAACATTACCTCTTCTGATCATCGTGACGGCGACAGACGAAAAGTGCGGGATGAAATCGGCAGGAAGAAGACGCATTGGAGTCGGGAGTGAACGTGACCTTGCATCTCTTGCAGACCTTCTCTCGCTGCTTATTTACTTCTCCATCTTCTTTCACCACCTTCTCATCCTTTTCCATGCTTTATAAATTTAGCTGCTTCTGTTTCTGACGATCATTAGTAGAAATTTCGGAAATCCTTCTATATTTTTAAAGGAGAATGAGAAGCTGATAACCAGAAATGTTTATGGAATTTCATACAAACACTTCAGCTTCTGCTCCTTGAAGGAGCAGAATCAGTTTTGATAATTAGATCCAAACAACTCCTTAGTCGACTGTCAAATAGTTATCACACCATGCATTCAACATCATAGTATTTATTATAATTAATGGTGATATTTTTTTTATCATTACATTATTTTTCAATAGTGACATTATTTCGAGAATAAAAACATAGGGGTTCTATTTTGGAATTTCCAAAGTTATTTACTCCTATTTAAGACAATTTCTCTTTTTCTTATGATCCAGATATAGCGGAGTAGATACTTTTAGGGAAAATAGCCCCAATTAGGACTAAGTTATAGTTGAAATTCTTAAATGGGAGTGGGTATAATTTTTTCCCCTAAATAGGATCATTCTTCCAATTTTGCCCCTTTAATTCATTTAACCATCCGCAGCTCATATCCTCCGTCCCACGTTCAGACCATTCCGCATCTGTGTGCGCAATAGCAGCTGTGCTTCAACGGAGAGTGGTGGCGAGCAACTACAGCGATCAATGACGAGCAGCGGCAGAGAGCGTCGGAGAGCAGCGGCAGAGAGCGCCGACGAGTAGCAGCAGCTTACGCCGGAGAGCAGCGGCAGCAGATCTACCTCTTCCTCGCACTCCTTTGCTTCTTCATTTTTCCCCGTCTGAATCTGGTCTGGTGGCGGTGGTGCCAAGCCCCTGACTCCCTGACGTCTCCTCTCTTCTTTTTAGTTGCTCTGCTTTGTGTTGAAGTCAAATTGAGTGGTTTACTTGGGCTTTGGGGGATTTTAATGGTTCGACTGAATATGACGGAGCATATGGTTTTACAATTGCCAATTTTTTTAATGTCAACAAAATGGCATTCTTGTTTTTTAAGAATTTCAAAATTTTCTTTATAAATGCCATTAAGATGGCATTCTCTGATTAATGTTGGCATTCTGATATAAAGGTTGGCATCAGTGGTGACATCGATCAGATCTACCATAGAAGTGGTCGGATCTGTCACGGCGGCGGCTGGATCTGCAGGAGTGGCGCTCAACAGGGGCCAGATCTGGACCTATCTAGGGATGTGGCAGTCGGATCTACGGCGGCGCTGTTCAGATATGTTACGTGGCTGGTTTTGAAGCTATGGTGGCAGCCCGCGGTGGTCGGTGGTGGACGACGGCGGCCTGTGGCGGACGACGACGGCCTGTGGCGGACGACGGCGGTCAGAGGTGGCGGTCAGATGGTCTGTCAAGGGCATCCATTCTATCAAGCTTGAGGATATTTTTGTCCAACTGCAAATTATAACTCCTATTTAGGGAATTATTAAACTTTGGTATTATCTTGGCAATTAAGAATATAATTACTCCTATTTAGGTAAATCCAAATACTTTTATCGTGTTTTTTAAAAGTAATTATTGGTATACACGTATACATTCTTTTGTAAATTTGTGTATGTATAAAGACAATTGAGTTGCTATAGATGACACTTTTGTTCAAAAAATAAATCTTTTTTAATTAAAACATTACTCTTATTATTGTAGATCATTTTTTTGTGAATTTTTTAAGACCGTCTGGGAGGACAAATAGGCACTCTAGAGTCTACACGGTCGATTTATTCAGCTAGGCACCAAACCAATTATTCGGGATTCCTAGCTAAATTAGTTTATCGCCAACCCGATTGGCTGAAACTCATCTTTTCTTTTACAATAAGATCCCACCGTATTTATTAGGGTTGGGCATTCGATTTGGTTTAGTTCGGTTTGGTTCGGTTTGGATGTGTAATCTTTAATAATATATGAAGGTTTTATTGAATTTCTTTAGTTCGGTTTGATTTTGTTCGGTTTTTATCGGGTTCGATTCGGTTCGGTTTAGTACGGTTTGGAAGAAATACTACTAAATTCAAACCAAACTGCATATGGTCCGATTTTGGTTGAGTTTAGTTCGATTTACTACGGTTCAGTTAAACAAACCTAATATGTCTACTCCTAATATTAGTAATGATATGTATATATATATATATATATATATATATATATATATATATATATATATATATACTAGTAGTTAACATATATGGTCAAATTAGAAAGTATTTTACTTTGAGGTTACATGTATTTCTCATGACAGTTATTCCTTCCCTCCCTTCACCAGATCACAGAATCTCATCTCATCTATCTATCTGGCCACCTTCCCTAACCTCCTTTTTCATTTCAACTAAACCAAAACTCTCTTTTTTATCTGCTTACCAATAAAGAAGAAAACCCCCAGCTAGATGTCTATGAAATATCGAAGTCATAGAAACAAAACATACAACTTCAATCATAACAGTAATTTAGTGTATTAACTTTGCTAGCACTTTATAATTCCTTTAGTGTTTTCAGTTTAGCCAAATTATAACACACCCAAACTTTTGATCTGTTCAGTCCTAATTTTACACATTTGGTACACTATTTAATAACCATGCTCATTCTGTCTACCTCATGTGATTTAAATAATAATCATAATGTTTGAAACAAGTCACACAACCACAAATTTTCAAGATTAACTATCCTTATTAATTAATTTCTGAAAATAAAATAGAACTAACATATTATTGAGTGAAGTTTATGGATATAGAAGAGTAACAAAATTAATAGGATTCAAAAAATACCACCTAGAATATTCTCCACACCACCACCTTCTTCAATTCCCACCAAATCCAAAGATGAGGAGCAGGATCACATCAATTCCTCCTTCCCGATCCAATTCCCAACTCCAAAAAGAAACAAAGAGTAGTGGTGAGTGAGGGAGACAGCAGCAGCCGGAAGAAAAGAGAAAAGAATGAGATGCCTTAACAATTCTTGTGCTGGACCTGGGGATTATAGTTTAACAAACCATTTAAGCAAACAACAGTCCATGCAATAGATATTATGTATTATCTGTGAGAAAAAAAATATATAATTACCTACAGAGTCTGAAGAATTTAGTATAACAACATCGTAGGTTCCTTCAAGAACATTATTCAGGAATGCAGTTCCTGCAGAATTAAAGAAGGATGGAAATATACTTGGGAAACTGAAAATACTACTTAAGGTACCTCTCCGGCATGAAGAGTTACACGATGATCTTCAAAACCAACAGCCACATCAGAGAAAAAATGTTTTAAAATCCGACCATGAAAATGTTAAAAATGGCTAATGAAGATAGGTGCTCATATGTGTAAAGAGAGGGGTGATCTGTACTATGAATCATCCTTTTCGGAGTTGACTTACCTCAACCACCATTTTGTCAGTCTCACAGATGTCTATCTGCTTAACGGAAGAATGGCGAGATACCTAACGTAAAACACCACCATCACCCCTTGCAATAACCAATAGCTACAGAAAAGTTGGAGGTCAGAAAAGATTTTGCAACTACTAAACTACTACTAAAGCTAACATCATAAAAAGAGGAGAAAGGATCTCACCTTTGTAATGGAAGAATGTTAACACTCTAATATACTCTGGCAGGTGAGAATGAACTCTGATGGACTTTTTCCAGGATCCAAATATACCAAACAACATGTTTTAATGACACAATCTGAGTAGAATGATCAACTTACTTAACAAAAAAAAACATAAAGAACTCACAAGTATATTTGATTCAAAATCTTTTCTATCTAAGCATAAAAATGCAATCCTTAATTTTCACAATTCAAGAAGAAATAAAAGCTGGGGTAAAACATCGGAAAATTGCTGAAAAGGTTGGTGAGAGAAACTACAATCTAACAAAATAATTGTAAGAGGCAAAATAGAGGATGACGTATTTCTCCACAAGTTCACCTGCAATGAAGTAATGAAGTTCTTGTCTTGATACGATAGTATATCGATAGTATATTTGAAGAGCACACTCTTATACAAAACCTATAATAAATGTAGGCAGACAATATCACAATTTATTTAGAATTTCGACAATTTAAGAATAGAAATCGGCTTTCTCTAGTAGAGGGAAGCATGAAAGAGTTTTTCAATTATTTTATACGGAGTAGGAAAGTTCAATTTTAGAACAGAGCGTGCTAAATTTGTCCAATATAAGCGTCTCTGATTTGCCAAGCCTTATCAGCTACACTGATTTATCAAATTTAAATTCTTTAGAACTCTGATTTGTGTATCAATAGGAAAAGTATATCAATTGGAACATCGGAGGGGATGAGATACATACCGTCGATGGAGGCCGGAACTGTGAAGGTGAGTCCATACCGACGATGTTGGTGAGGAAGAGGACGGCGAAAGTAAACGCCGGAGCAATTGTCTGCCATATTCTCGAGGAGGATAGACAAAGAAGAAATGGAATTGGGAAGAAATCAAGCCTCCGCGTAAACGAAGTCGCTGGTACGGTTCACGGCTACAGAGGTCCAGAGCTGACTCTACGACTGAGCGGCCATAGAAAGAAAAAGATAGAGCACGAGAGCGGAGAACGGATTTGGCTTACCTGAATGTTTTCCTGGCCACGACTCACGTGAATTGCATGGAGAATCGGCGGACGACTGGAACCCTAGCCTTGAGTATGTCAAGCAAGAATGAGAGGGGAGAAGTTGGGGTCTGGGGAAATTGAAGAGCGGAAAATGAATTGGGAAAAGCGTAGGCGCGAGACGGATTTACATCAGGCAAAACCAGGTGGGAGATATTTTCATCGGGCGTTATCTAACGGAAACCAACGTTTGAACTGTAGTAACGGAATAGCACGTCGAGTAACTTTCTTCCGCGCTTTAGAAGAATAGGAGATATATATATATATATATATATATATATATATATATATATATATATATATATATATATATATATAATACTTGAAGAAATCACTCGAGGACTTAGTTTTTTGTACAACAATTACAACAACTAATAGCACTTGAATGAATATATCTTGTATATCAATTTTCATTCAAGATAAAAGTTTTCAATCTATTAAACTCTTATGGCATATTAGAAGCCTATATATTTGTTTTTGGCAAAAAATGATAAATGCAACTCTCCAAAGAAAATGTAGTGATACCAATAAGTCAATAACATGTTTAATTTAAAGGAATTCTTTATCACAACTTGGTTATCATTTAAATATCTCACAACAATTATCATTTGTATTTTTATAAAATTATGAATTTATTTTTATTTTTTGTATGATAGGCACAAGGCATGTCAAAAAAATGGCTCGCAGAGACCCGCTCTGCTCTGAGACATTTGGGGCGGGGCCGGCCCGCTCTGCCCCGTGCATACAACAGAGCGGGTCCGGGTATTAGTATTGATTCGTGTCGCCCCAACCCGCTCAATATATCTTTTATTTTTAAATTATACTACAAATACTAATATAAATTTAAGTGTGAGTATCAATTCATGAATTCCTCATTATTTTAATATATTTATTAATATATTACTCCCTACGTCCCATTTTAGCAGTCCTACTATCCTTTTTTGGTTGTCCCAAAATAAGTGTCTTTTTTCCTTTTTTGGAAAGAAATATGTGGCCTACATCATTTCATTTTATTATTCTCAAATCTTAACCACAACTTTTACTTTTTCAACCACTTCATTAATAATCATGCCAAGTCAAACTAAGACACATAAAAATGGGATGTAGGTAGTAATATTTATATTTTGAAGTAGATGAAAAGTTAATAAACTGTCGATGCCTTTTTCGTGTTTTTAGCATTGTTACATTCATTTCTTCATAATTAAAAAATTAACTATTTTAGTCTATATTCTTTTTTTTTTTAATTTTTGAAACTTTATATTGTATTATGACTTTGATTTATTATATCATATTTGTTTTTTATAAAATTAGAAGACAAACTTTATGTAAAATTCAAGCTAATGACATGTGCCAACATCTAATGATCCGTGCGGGTCACGGGGTGGGGCGGGTCCACCTAGTTATGTCATGGGGTGGGGGCGGGTCCTGCACTATCCGGCCTGAACCGACCCATTGTTATGCCTAATAGGCACTAATTTGAACATGAGTATTGTACCAAATCATGGGTCAGAAGCGGTCACTTGTCCCAAGCCACTAGGTCCTCGTGTGTAGGCCACCTTAGATCATCCTGTATCAAATTTCTAGGGTGAAATTTATAAGAGAAATTTCCCAAAATAAGAGTCAAACATGAGGAAAATGCAAAAATAGGACATATTGTAATTAAATTTCCTAAATAAGAGTGAATATTTGTGTTTGGACAAAAATAGCCTAATGAAAACTGTCATAACATTATTTTTGTGCAGCGCAGCCGCAACCGTCCTCCGGTGCCGCAACTGTGTATCCTCCAGCAAGACCGCAGCCTCCGCTGCCCTTCACAGAGTTTGCCGCCGCCATCCTGCGACGAAGTCGCTGCTCTCCGTCAAGTCCCTATAATCGCCCTCGAGAATGCCACATGATTTGCATAATTACACAATAATGACTTTTTCGTGTAGAAACATGACATTCTCAATGTGGCATTCCAAACAATGTAATTGCAAATTGAGATTGTCATTTTGAAAAACGTACTTACATAAAAGTGACATTTTTTCAAATAATCACTAACTATGACATTCACAGATTCAAAAAGTGACATTTTCTTGAGAGTCATTAGTCAGGACGGAGGTTCAAATTAATCAAAATTGATAAGAAAAAATTCAAGTTCAGATATATGCCATTACTTGTCCTTCGTTGAAATATAGCTCTTCATTTGAAACTTAAAAATACAAACTTTTATTTAAAATTTGATTCATAGAAATTTAAAAAGGAGGGGGGGGGGATTTGGTGCGACACGGCTGGCATCGATTGAGAGTGCGGTTGCAATTGATGGCGGAGGAGCTATGTTGCATCAGAGGTAGAGATCTGGTTCAATCACATGTGGAGGAGTTGTGTTCTATTCGCAGGTGGAGAAGAGTGACTGGCGTCGATCAGGAGCGCGACTGCAATTGATGACGGAGGGACCATGTTGCATCGGAGGTAGAGAGTTGAGTTCAATCTCAATTGGATGAGTTGTGTTCCATTCGCAGGTGAAGAAGAGTCGCTGAGAAGGTTTAATCATATAAGGGCAAAAATGTAATATGGAATCCTATTAAAGGAATAATAACTTAAATTTCTATTTTGACTATGTTTTAGTCACATTTAAGACAATAACTAATCCAAAACTTATTTTATAATACTCCGTAATATTTCTATTGAGAATGTTCATAGAAATAATTCGAATTATTGACAAGAATAAATTGAGATCAATTCAAACTATTAGGTTGGAGGACTTTAAATGATATCAAATGACTCAACTACCCTCCCCCTTTTAGTGGTTTAATTAATTCAGCCGAAGTTTTGGTCGGAAGGACGACGAGTGGTGAGGGAAAAATAGTCACGAACTATATGTGAACAAATTGAAAGTAGGGAACGAAATGTGGAAGTGGTACAATAGTCATGTGACCAAAAGTGTAATTCTTTCTTTTAGAGCTCGTGTGGTAACACGAAAATCGACTGATTTGGCTGATTCTGCTAAAATTTATGAAATTATTGTTTAAGTGGCTGCATTGGCTGATTCTGCTGATTTAAGAAAAAAAGTTAAAATACATTTTTTTAATAAAGTAATGAAAAAATAATATGTAAAAATAGCTAAAATGATCATCTATATTAACTTCAATTAATACAGTCAGAAAAATAATTTTAATCTTACTTTTTTCTTATTATCAAACAATTCAGCGCACAAAAACAAAAATTACGTGTTTGATGAAAAAGTTGACCGATAAATCTGATAAGCCGAAAAAGAAAAGTTAGGTGTTTGACGAAAAATATATATTAATAAATCTGCTCTTAGGTTTATTACTCCCTACTTTTTTATGTATTCCACGGATTTTTTCACACTAATCCATACCTCGCTTATTCAATACTCCGTTCATTTTTTCTGTATGGTGCTTCCAATCGCGGATTCGCGGTCTAAAATGGATCTTCATTCAATCCCATCCACAATTTTGAGGTTTCATGTTTGTTTCTGTACGTGATTACACACTTCGTGCCTCTTGCGCGCGCGTATATATATGTGTGTGTATATATTTGTTTCAAATAATTTTGTCTAGCTGCTTTGGTTGATGGGTTTCATGGATCATGAAGTCCTTCCTGGATTGAATGACCCCGCTCTATGGGCAACGGAGGAAGACTATAGAGCCTGGAACGATGATAGGTATGAGCCCCCGATTAAGAAATCCAGAAACTCACAGGGCTCAGAATCTCACGTCATAGTCCCAAGTAGATCCAAAGCCATCGGAAAGCTGTTCTTCAAGACCAAACTTTGTTCCAAGTTCCGTGCTGGGGTCTGTCCCTATATCACCAACTGTAGCTTTGCTCATGGGCTGGAAGAGCTTCGCAAGCCGCCTCCTAATTGGCAAGAGAGGGTCACTGATCATGAGACATTGGAGCACAGGATTCCGACCATGAGTTCCCCCGAATCACGGGCCGAGTTCCACAGGTCTCACAAGGGAAGGCACTGCAAGAAGTTCTATACAGAAGAGGGATGTCCGTTTGGAGATAGCTGCACCTTCTTTCATGATGAGCAGTTGCGGTCCAGGGAGAGTGTGGCCATTAGTGTGACTCCCACCGGGGGCGACTTCGGTAATAGTGTGAATAACCCAACAGCAGTGTACCAAAAGCCAAACAACTGGAAGACAAGGATTTGTAAGAAGTGGGAAACTACTGGGTATTGCCCGTTTGGCAGTAAGTGTCATTTCGCTCACGGGGTAGCAGGTATGGTTTATATTCTTACTTGGTCTGTATTGATGCTATCCTTGTCAATGTGTTAGCATTTGTGTTATTTTGCCTCATTTCATGTGAAAAAGTGAGTTCCATTTTCAATAGAAGTATGTTTAATCAGCTGTTATAGTAGTGTTTGGAGATTGTGCAATGTTGTAGCTATGTGGTAAATTGGGGCATAGCAATCATTAGGGAATTAATCAGGGTTAGTTGGGATCCAAGTGGAATTGCAAAACATAAAATAAAAATAGTCCTACTATACCTCATTTTGTGAAGGAAAATATGAATTTCTGCTGTGTTTGGCATGTTGTGTCTGTCAGAAGTAGATTTTGCTAAATGCTTTACCTTCAGAAATTTCATCAGATTTAGACATATTGGCCAAAGACCCTTACCGGCCTTACCAAAGGGGCTCTTCATTTCCATTTGAAGTATATACTATGATGGAGAACATGCAAGCAGTTCCATTTCAAATTATTTATTCAACAAGGATAAAAAGCATTCAAGGCATCACGGTTCTTCATAGTATGCTTAGCGTGCTATGTTAGTTTACCACTCTAAGCTTAGAAATTATGTTCCTTGGGGAGGCAGTCTGAATGACTAGGAACTAGGGAGGAATTCAAAAAGAAATCATAAATTAATCATCATTTAATTATTAAATGATCTGGCTGTCTTGATTTCCCAGATTGGTCATTCCACACATGAATTAGCGCATTAACTGATAAAGGAGGTTAAAACATTGGAAGAAGTAACTTGATGGGAGTTGGGCAGAGGACTCTGTTTATACCATGGGTTTTTAGTCCCTGGCTACTGTGTACTGAACATCCAAGCGCTCAAAACAGTGGTGTCAAGGAACTTTTCTTTTATTTAATAAACCTTGTCTTGAATTGTTCAAACTTGAATAGGTGATTTGGAAGGAAATTCATTTCAACCTTTTATTTAATAAACTCTTCTTTTATTTAATAAACCTTTTTAATAAACCTTGTCTTGAATAGGTGATTTGGAAGGAAATAAAATTTGGGGGAGGGGGTATGAAATATTGGTTGAAAACTTGAAACTCAATAAATCAAATTTAGATATTTATTCAAACTTGTTTTATTGATATATTTGATTATACTTCGTATAACCACTAGGAAGTCTAGTTATATTAACATCTCAAATTGTTCTAAGCAAGTTCTATTCTTCTTTGCATACTCCAAAGTAAAGCCAACCATTAAAAATATCCTTTCCCCCTTTCCTTATCACTTTTGGGATTTCAAACATTGTTTAATCATTCCGGTTTCAAACTGCCCATGAAGAGTGTAGAACCGTAGATCACCTTCTGTGTATTTCATACGGCTAGTCCACTTTATCTTGGACTGATTACTGGCATCATTCTTTTTTACACTAAAGTCATCCGTGAAACATAATTTCTGGCAGAGCTGCACAATATTGGTAGAGCACAAGGGGAGGGTGAAGGCAACGGTTCTGCTTCAGGAATAAATCCAGGGGGAGGATCCTCAAAGACACCGGTAGATCTAAAGATAGCCTCGGCCACATATGCTCTCAGTAGTAAAACCTCTGAGAGGAGGAGACCTATCCAGAAATGGAAGGGACCTGATAAAATAAGTAACATATATGGCGACTGGATAGAAAATATGGACTCATAGAGGGTGAAACTTGATCTTGAACTAACGATCTTAAGTTCTCAAGTTGCGATTAAATTAATATTTTTTGACCAACCGGCCCTGTTTCTTGTGAGTTGAAGAAAGTATAGTTGATAACTTGATATTCCTCATCGTGAGGTTTTATAACTGTTTTTTGTGTATGTAGTTTATGTACCATGGAGTTGTATCAGCAAAACAACTGTCTTTTTTTCATTGATATCTAATTTAGCTTGTGAAATAAAGTTGATAGTCCAAAAACATCATTACAGAGTAGCACCAATTTTTTTTTTTTTTTTTTTTATATTTTTGAAATTAAATTCTAACTTTTTTTGGAAGAAAACTAGATAAATATTACGGAGTATTAATCAAATCAAAGTCTAAGGAAGCCATAATATAAGAAGGGAAAACAATGAAATGGCAGCTTTAGCAAGATTGTGAGCTACCCGATTCGCAGATCACTCCATATGAGAGAAGGAAATACTAGTAAAACAAGAAGAGATTTCTCTAATACAAAGTATCATCTATGAGCAAACCTGAAGATTTATTAATCGTTCCATGAGAAATGCTTTAAATAATTTGCAGACACACCAATATTATCCCAGCCTTGTTGGAGTTGTTGCTTTAGCCAACTTAGCGCATTCTGCTACATGTAGGGGTGGATTCGGGCCGGACCCGGGCCGGGTCCGGATCGGGCCTAGGCCTGGGCGGGCTGGCGGTCCAGAATTGGTGGACCCGGGACCGGACTGGGTAGCCACCGGGTTCGGTCCAGGTCCGGGCAGGGCCTCCGGTTTGTTTTTTGTGTTTTTTTTTTGGTTTTTTTTTGCTTTTGCTTTCCTAACCCCCCCCCCCCCCCCATCCCCTCCTAACCATCAAGCCCAATCCGGGTGGAACCCCAAAAAATGCAAAAAAAAAAAAAATCAATTTGGCCCGGACCCGGGCCCGGCCGGGCCGGTTCGCCAAATGTAAGACCCGACCCCGGGCCTAGGCCCGACCCGGACCCAGACCCGAGAACCGGGCCGGTCCCGGTCTCGCAGAGTAGCGGGCCGGTCCGGTCCACGGGCCGGGTGGCCCGACCCAAATCCACCCCTAGCTACATGTGGGGAATGCCCTATCCATTTTTAGTCCCTCTTGCAACAAAGAAGCCCCCATTATCTCGAATCACCCAACATAGCCTGCAAACATTAGCAGTTAAATAGGACGCGACCGTATTCATCCGACCCTCCTCGGGGCTACGCCAACGTGCCACAACGCTACACTTATGTGTTTACTTCAAGCCCACCCCCCTCCCTCCTGAGCTCTGTGCCACCCCTCCATTTAAGTCTTCAAAAAAATTGCGTACAAAGTTTCCCTTGTGTTCATTACAAGATTCTGAAAATGTTTTAATTTTTTTTTTTGCAATTTATATTATCAAAAGTTTTATATATATTTTTAGTAAAACAATTGTTAAGATACTAAATTTCCACCTTTCAACGGAAAAGTCAAAAGCTCATAGATACCAAGCGAAATTGCTCTTTCGTTTATTTACTCAATTTGTTGATTTGTGCGCTTATGAGTATTTTTTTTTTTACTCCAGGGGGGTCTGGGGGAGGGGGGCTGGGGGGAGCCTGGAGTAATCAGGGCTGAAACCCACTCCATTGAATTTCACAACCTCACAACCAGCTGGGCTGGAATGCTTATGAGTATTCTCATTACTTGTTCCAAAACAAAATATCAAATTTTCACTACTATATTTCTCCATATTGTACCCCATACTGTCGTTAGTATTGTTCTAACCTCTACTAAAATGTATCTAGTTTTAATGAATTTTATCTGCTCCAAGAAAAATGTGACAAACGTTTTTTATTTTAACAGAACATTACCCCATTTATAATTGAAGGACTGGAGTATGTTTTTTTTTGCAATGGCTTCTGAACATCAAGTCGTTAAACAAGGTGTCCACAATAAAAAAAGTATAATCACTAGAGTTTATTCACGAACAATTAACCACTAGAGAGAATTGATCAAAGTGGAAACCATTTTATTGGACAATGGTGCAAAAGTTTGTCCAAGATGGACGACTGTGACTATATTTGTAGTTAAGAGATGAAATTACAAAAGTTATCTATGCATCCTGTAAGCAACGGATGGCTATATACACATGGTGCAAAGACGGCATACCTTACATACAAGAAAAGATTTATAAGGTATAATAAAAGGGCAAATCAATGGTAATTGTTCTATGGCACCACAACATCACTGCTAATAATTCTCCATGAATGCTAATATTATGGACGAAAGCGGGAAAACATTATGTGAAACAGTAATAGTGCATTTAAGTATAATGATGAACAAGGTTGGTTGTAGCTATTGTCTCTACCTCTCTCTAAATCCTTAAAAGAGGAGGAATGTTGTATTTACATGTCCTGGCCTTCCAGCCACTGTCTGAGCAGCAGTCCTTGGAGGGGAGCTACCTTGCTCCTTTTCAGGGTAAGGAAATGAAAGAGAGAGAGAAAGAGAGAGAGATGTAGAAACTTCCTCATCCACCTTACTTGTTGCGGCATTATCTGCCAGCTGGATTTTTGGTGGGGTAACACCACATTTTGCATCAGTCACTAAAGCTAGCTCAAGATTCAGAGTCTCATTATGGAGTAGATCTTTTTCCACCACAGAATGCATTTTCCTGTGCATCACGTTGACATCACGCTCGAGGTTGTCAACCGGAAGAGGAGAAGTAGGGAAAGAAAGTGTTTTAGCCTCAGTCAATGATTTATCATGAGGTTTCTCTTGTGGAGTAGTAATAATAGTCTGATTGCTATGTGCAAAGAATCCATTGATACTGGACTTCAAGTTTCTGTCTTGGTTAACTGAAAACAAGTTAACACCATCTTCATGGCTAGATTTCCTCATTGATTGACTCGTGACAGAAACTACCTCCTGCATACCAGCTAGAGGAGCTTCACGAAAATGAAGTGGTGGTCTTTGTAGGACGGGTTGGGTAGCGCATTTGTCAGAAAGCTGAACACTCATAGCAGAGTTTGTAACTCTTTCACTTTTAGGAACAAAGCTGTGTTGTTCCTCCACCCTGCAGTTGGAAGAAATACCTTCTTCCTGCAAGGAGCACAAACATGTAATCAACATTTCATAAATCATATTGGGTGTCAAATTAACGCACCTCCCTAAATCATGTTACACCAAGTTACAAACTTTTAATCACGGAAGTTAAAACTCTAAGTCATTCATCATACTTTTATTTTCTGATAATTTGTTGGCTTATCTATATTGATCATATATTAACTATCCGCCAGACAGTTTTTTTGGGGGGGATAGGTTGAACCTGGAAGACCATACTCCCCACTTACTCTTACATTGGAAGATACAGGTTCAAGCACTTTTGAAGCAAGTGTCTCAGTAGGTATATCAATACTGTCAATTGGAGCATTCACAATTGGCCCAAGGTTGCAGAAATTGGCAGGTATGGGTGGCATGGTCCTGGGAATATCTTGAGTGAGTAACTTCTCAGCACCACAAACACGCAAATTGTTTTCTTTGTTCCCTTTGAACACACCCCACAGGAAATACATCATATTCCACCCTGCAAATACGGGGGGTGATGAGAAAGGCTGGCTAAATTCAGTCCTACCCTAAAAAGCGCAATGCTGCATTGCTATGTTATTAATTTTATAAAAGATGTAGGGAAACCACCTCGGCTCATTTAGGCTATGTTTGGAACTCAGAAAATAGCAGGGGAAGGGAAAAAGAGTACTAAGAAATGAGTTTCTTTGTTTGGTTTTACCTAGGAAAATACAAAGGAAAATCAAATTTGAATATTCAAATATAATGAGTTTGGGCAAATATCTGAAACTGAATTAGGGGGGGGGGGGGGGGGGTTGAAGCAATCTGTTATTCTCCCTCAAGTTTTCTTACTCCATGTTTTCATTCCCTAGCATTTGCCGAGTTCGAAACACTCAAACAGACCCTTAAGAGTACCTTCTGACACTTCCAAGTACATGATACAGAGGATAAATTACAGCATAGAGATCAAAATGCGACGGGCCACAGGGAACTTCAACTACTCAGTTTTATTGTCGCATTATGTTAATGCACAATCTGTTGAGCAAATTTTCTACTAAGGGATAGGAAAACAATTTGACCAAAAACAAATCTAGAAAGAACTAAGTTATGGTAAAGGTATAGAGTGTGTTTGGGATCACTTATATAAGGTTTTCTTTAGAGGAAGAAAAGTACACTTTGTCCAAAAGAAAAGTTTATAGGAAAATTGAAAAGTGCTTTTAAGAGTAAAAAACAATGCTAATTTAAGAAGAAAGCAGTGCATTGGTTCTTTTAAAAATATACACCTTACGTGCTTACGATAAAAACAATTATACTGCAACTTAGGATGTTTTTACTTGGACTGTTTTCTTAGATCAGCCCAGACCGGACCAGACCAGACTTGGATAGTTATAAAATACATAGAGACCAAACGTTTACCAGACCAGATACCAGAAAATTTCAGTCCAAGTAAAAACATCCTTAACCTATAAAGGCTCATACTCACTGTGTACTTTCTCAGGAAGCTGGTTAGATGGAAATATCAGCAGCTCAATGCATCCAAATTTTCCTTTAAGAGCTAGATCGTGCTTCATCATATCCCCCAACAAAACTTTGTAACTCTTCTCATAACTGCACCATTAACAAAACATAAGTTTCTAGATAGTTGTGCAATTAATTAAAAGGAACTAAAATATGATTCACAGGGAGACGAAGGCTACTTCACTATATCCACAGGAAAGAAAAAGAGGGCTATGTTCTCTTCACGAACACCATGATCCTGAAACTGTATTGGCCAGGAACTCGATCGTGAAATTTCTCTAAGCACAAGTTTCTGAGGGAACTTATCTACAACATCTGCCACTTTAGGTGATGCACATGTTGATACATGAGCCTGAATCCCATCATATAGATTAACGAAGTTTCCACTCCGGTGGATCTCAAATCCTCCTCTGCACAGAAAAACCATGCATAAGTGGATCATCCTTGAGAATGCAGCAACCTCTTGATAACCCAATCAAGATATCAAAAAGGAAAATATGAATAAAAATGGCATGTTTCAGATTCATACTGCCATATATACTGCTGTTTGGGAATGATTGTTCTTGGAGATGCCATTTCAGTTGAAGAACAGGGTTGCATATTAATTACAGAAGATTTTCCATCAAATGGGACCGGTGGACCGGCATGTCCAGTTATTATAGGAGTTTCATCAGGAAGCACTACCAGCTTC